AGTCCCTTTGCCCTGCCTTAGCCAAGGCTCCCCAGCTGTGTCCTACTCCTAGTGTTCCCTTGCTCCCTCTGCGGCCTGAACTTTGAAGTTAGAATCACCATTACCATCTTTAAAGCTAGAGAAGCTCTGAGAAATCTCTGTTTTCAATACCTGTCCCCTACCCGGCCCAGATTTATAGATGGGAAAACCGTACTCAAGGTCACATAGCTCATAATTGGCAGAGACAAAATGTAAGTGTTCAGCATCTCAAATCAGATATGTCTTTAATATACCTCCCTACTTCCAAGAAAACAACATAGATTTGCCTCCAGCTCTCGGAACTGGAGCAAGCAGGTGGTTATGACCTGTACCAGTGGGAAGCACCTGGCTAAAGGAGGCCAGGCTGACCCCAACTGAGCCCAAAGCAAGTGACAAATCATAGCACTTCTCGGTTTTACCTCCATCAGAATATTATCAGTGGCAGACACCCACCCAGCCAGGATTCTCCTCCTGGCTGGCAACCCTGAACTGTGCAGGGAAAGGCGTTTTAACATGATCCCAAGCTCCTTACCAACTCTGGCAAACTAACTGCTACGGAGATCATGGTGATGAGCTGCTCACTAGCCTGACCATCCCATTTACGTAACTGCCTCTTGGTAAGACCCAATCCACACTCTTGGGCTGATTTAGATGGGGCCTCTCGGCAAACATGGCTGAAATCTGTCTCAGTGCTACACTGGAAGAGACAGAGGGAAGGACTGGCAGATGCTATCCTTCCAGCAGAGCTCATAAACATGTGTGGCACAAGGAGAGCCGAGTCCAGGAGAAGAAACAGACAGAAGAGGCCAACACAGAGCGAGGGGGGCAGAGCAGGAGCAGCGGTGCTCCCTCCTGCCTCCCCAGCTCTTCAAGAAGAGGGGCCGATGGAAGCTACAGTGTGTCCCCTGATCAAGTTCTCAACAGAGGCTCAGCCTGTGTGGCTGAGATGTAAGAGGAAAAACCAGAGATGTGTGTCATAAAAGCCAGGAGAAGAGGGTGTTTCAATGAGGAAATGGTAGAAGGTGTGAAATGCGTAGACAGTTCAAGACAGTGGAGGACTAAAGGTATTTGTTTAGTTTGGCAACTGGGTGGTCACTGGTGACTATTATGACAAACTATAGGAGAGTGAAGAGTGACGTGAGAAGAACCAATGAAAAAGATTCTTTTTAAAAGACACAAAGATGACAAGGAAAAAAATGTAAGGGGCAACAGCCTCTAATAGGGTTTTGTTGTTTCACCTTGAGGAGGCCTGTGCTTGTTTGTACGCCATGTTCGGGTAGCCAGTGGAGAGGGAGATTGAAGATGCGGGAAAGTAGGAGCAGTGGGACAAGTGACAAAGCAAAGTCTTGGAGGACAGATAGCAGGATTCAAGAAATAGAGCACCAAACATGAGCCAGAGGAGGGATAGAGACAGAGAGATGGGACAGGGAGAGAAATAAGCAGGCAAGGAAGTTCTCACTTTAGGGCCTCTCTTCTGTGAAGTGGGCAGTGAGGTCAGTTGTCTGCTGAGAGCAAGGATGAATGGCATGGACTGAAAGCGGAATAATAGTCGAAGATACACCACTCAATACTGAGAGCCCAACTCAGGCTGTCACTGTGGATCTGCCATGCTTAGCAGCCCAGGAAAAGGGAGTGAAAAACAGGATGGTACAGAAAATGGAGAATGGTTAATAGTTTCAGCGAAAGTTGGAGGGAATGAGAAATTTCAGGATGCCGGTAAAAATGTCAGTGATGGACCATAGTTTCAGGCTGGGGAGAGGAAGAAGTCCAGGAGAAGGCCGAAAGACTGGAAGGATAACTGAGGTCATGGAAATGGACTAAAGGAGCTGGTGACTTAAGTAAGAAGCAGTGAGGGAGTGGGAGAAGAGGAAGCATAGCTATGGTGATCTGAAAGGAGCAATGTCTAGGTTCAGGAGTTCAGGATAGAGGATTATAGGTGATACCATGGACTGAAAGAGGAAATAGAGCAGAGCTCTCAGAGAAACAAGAAGGAGCTTGGTCTTAGGCAAAGACCTGTTGTCAGAAATGGTTACAGGGAGCCAGAGTATGCCAGGGTTGATGGCAGGCAAGGCCTGTGTACAGCAAAGGCTACAGGGTGTCTGGTGTCTGGTGGCTGCGACTTGGTGGTACCTGCAGAGAGTGTGTAGCTGGCAACTTCTAGAAGGCAGGCAGGACCAACCTACCCATGTTCTGGAAGAATGCTGTGCAAGTTCATCAATGTTTACACTAAAATTCCCTTTGCATCAACTGAAGCCACTTCATTCTCCTGTTTCTCTGCACACCCAAGAAGCCTAACTCCTTCTCTAGGATGGTATTTTTTAGCACAAGAATCCAGAAGTCATTGTATCTCCATTTCCTGACTATGTCAAGGGCCAAAGGACTTGACTGACTTTAAAATGTAGCCACTATAGGACCAAGCTAAAAGTAGGATCCACTCAAATGTTTACAAAGAGTCACTGAAATCAATCACTCAGCTAATAGCTTTAATTTTTTTTTCTAAAAAGGCATGATCTGTTTTCTGCATGCAAAAACAAAACAAAACATAACCATGACTCACAACATTGGTGCTAAGCACACAGGGAAAGCCATAGAGAGAGCAGTGCTTTCAGGAAACCAGTGTAGGGATGGCATGGTGGGCCAAGGCCTTGAACCCTTGAAGGAAAGGACACCCTGCCTCCTGCCCCTGGCAGCTCAGGTGCCTAAAGGGAGTCTTTCAGCATGCAGGATCTCTGTAATCATAAGGGAATGTGTGACTCTCTACTACAGTACTAAGGTCCTCTGGCCCAGCAGGCTGATCCCTGGGCCCATCATGCTATCCCCAAGCTGGAAACTTCATTGATAGAAGGAAAGCCAAGCATCTGAACAGGCATTTTTGCTTTATATTTGTGGTCTCCAACTGGTCCTCAGAAAGGATCTTGATGAAGTTTGAGCCAGTCACAGCCTTCACTTGGCTGCTCAACACAAAGCACCATGAAGCTCTCTCAGGGGAGGTGGGGATGTGGGCCACACAAAGGAAAGACTACCAAGAATAGGAATCAGTGAGGTAATTACAGAGGGAACCTTGCCAAGCCAACCAACCAGAGAAAAACATTCAAAAGTTGAAAGTGGCCAGAGCCTAAACCAGAAAGTCATGTGAGCGCCAAAGACTGCCTGGCTCCTGGAGTAATAGAGACTTAGTTACCCCAACCTACAAAACAGGATATGGAAGCCCACCTGCTTAGGAGAGCTTGGGAGTGCTGGTGATAGAATGGCAAGTCAATGGGTGCGGTTTGCTTTGACATGAAGATGATCTTCCAACCTGGGTGAAGGAAATGAGCAGTACCATTAACTCACAAGGAAAGAAGAAATGTTTTCTCTGATCAAAGTGCTCCCATCAACAAAGACCCTACAGGTAAGAACTTTCGTACACTGAATCTCTTAGCAAAAATAAAACCATGGCCCTAAGACTCCTTTGAAACTAACCAAACCATGACAGGACCCCTTAGGGCGAGCTGTCTCTCCAGGCAACTGAAGGTCTGAAGCTCCCTCACAAAATCAGCAATAGTTTCTTTCTCAAGCAAAACTTCACCAGCGAGGTAGCCTGACCCCCAGCATCCGCCTATGCCTCTTCCTCCCTAACACCCTAAATGGACCATGAAGATCCACCTGAGATGCAGCCTGGAGCTTTGCTCCTGTTCTCATGGCTTCTAGAACACTTCTCTCTGCTTTCAAGGAAAAGGAAAATCCTGAGGTGGCTTCAGGGTCACAGAAGGGTGCTGGCTTTTCGCCTCTCAGGTTTCCTCTCTCCATCCTAGACAGGACTTCCCTGTGAATGCTAAGTCTGGCTCCTGCCAGTCGCTCTGGTTTTCTTCAACTTCTAACAACAACAAAAGAACAAGTCTCAACAACCAGTAGAGACTTGGCTTTTTCTGGGCTGTAGACAGCCTGAGGGCAGGCAAGTCAGAGGAATCCCTTCTGATCTTTGGCTCTGTGAACATGGACAGGTTGAGGACTAGAATCTCTAAGCAGGAGGTGAGGCCCGGCAGAGTGAGCTGGTTGTGGTCACTCTCCTTGCCTAGGAAACTCAGTACCAAAAGCAGCTGCCTCACAGTTTCCCAGGCAGAACTCAGGATCCAAAATGGAGGGAATGAACAGGTGGCCACCAACAATCACTTCTAGGAAGGCAGGTTCTGACACCAAAAAAAAGAGCTATTAGCCCGAAGTGAGTGGCATAAAGGGCTGGTTCTGAAGTTGACATCTTCTTAAGCTCAGTGAAATCTGAGCCTAAAGACGTAGCGGTCTCTGCACAGCCAGCCAGCTCAACAGGAACGCCATACCATCCAGAGCACTTCCACAGCAGCCACTGAGGTCAACATTGGGAAAGGGCGCATGAAAAACAAATACCCTGAAGACCGTTAAAACCCGAATAGGCACCAATTGAGACCTCTGACTTCCAGAAGCCTCCATCACCCTGCCCAGGGCTGGCGCCTCTGTCCCGGCAGGCCAGGCAAAGGCAAACAGTGACAGTCTTTGGCTGTGCTGGACCAGGGATTACAGGCCTGCCTTATGTCAGAACCTCTCTCCCTTCTTTTACCCTCTTCTGAGCCCAGGAGGAGTTCAGACATATACATTGCTCCTGAGCCCTGCGCTCTGAAAGGTGAGAAAAGTCTGCTTTCCTCAGCAGGAAGAATTCACCAAGGAAGTTAGGTCCTCCCGAGCCTGACTAGGCTTGGTCTTGTCATGTTACCCTATACATGTGATTATTCTGGTGATAGGGAACACCTCCCTCTTTGCTGTTTATTACTGAAATCTTCTCTGTAGTGGAGGCACTATGGCTCCCAAATAAATGCTGTAAGATGCAAATGGCAAAGAAGGGCACTACATCAGCTCGACAAGACTTGTCTCACATCCACAACCTGAAGAGAATGAGCGGAAAGGTGGGGAGGAGTGGTCAACGGGATGCGGCGGCACCACCTGCCGGAGTGTCCGGTCTCCTCCCAGGCCTACACCTGGGAGATGCTGTTGGCCAGGCGGAAAGACATTCTTTTTGCTCTTTCATTCTCCTGAAAGAAAAAAAATATTCGGAAGTAGAAGGGCCAAATGTGGGATTTATTAATGTGAAAAGGCTGTAAGTGTCCAGATTGGGATTCCCTGGAACCAAAGTGTGTTTACCTATCCTAGGAACACAACAGCAGAACTCCTCGAAGCCACTAACTATTGCGTGTGAAGGATCATTAAACAACTGCGGAAGGCTGGCCAGACCTTGGCACGCAGTAGGCAGGCAATACACTTTGATGGAATTAAATAGCTTTGAATTAATACTTCAGGTCTCCACAGGTGGGACCAGGCAAAAGGTCAGAGGAGCTCTCTCTGCTGCAAGCAACACCTCTCCTTCCTTCTCTGCCCCAAAGGTCTGAGAAGGTCCCTCCGTTGATCCCAAACCCAGTTGAGATCAGGCTCTGAGACCGGGCACTGCTCTTAAAGGCACCATGGTTTAGAATAACAAGCACTGAGCAGGGAGTCAGGACACTTCATCACTCACCCTGGTTCTGCCATTGCTCTACTGAGTGACCCCGAGGAAGCAACCCTCTGAGTTTGAACCTTGGGGCTCATCGGAGTTGATGAGCCCCGCACTGCCCTGCCTCCCTCTTAGGCTAAGGCGCTGGAATTGAGGGTTCATCGTCACCACTCTCTTGTCCCACCTGAGCAGCTTCACTCTAGGTTGCTCTTGTACATGTTGCTCAGGTGTCCCCTGCCTGCCCAGTCACCCACCCACCTGCCTGCCGGCTGGCAGCCACTCCTTACCATGTGTCGCCGCCGCCTCTTGGGTTGGATGCCCTCCTGCATGTAGGGGGGCCACGGGAAGCCCTGGGGAGTGGAACACCCACTCTCGCTAGACACCTCCTCGGAGTCTGAGTCCTCCTGCCGCGGCTGGGCGAACTGTTTCTCCGGGTAGATCTCTTTCAGCCAGCCCTCAAAGAACACTTCCAGGCAGCGGCCGGCCTCTGCGACCTCGGAGTCCGGCTGAAGGGAAAGGAGAGCGGGGATGGTCTGGCCTGTTTCCACCGGCCCATCTCTTCCAGGCCTCTCAAGAGCTATACAGAGACCACAAAACCTAGCTGGGTCTCTTGAGTGTCTGGAAATTTATGTTTTTCTCCTCGGGACTGAGAATAACCAGTTTGGTATCCAACTGAAATGACCCTGACCGTTACCCACAGATGGCCGGTCACTAGCTCCCCCATCTTCCTCCTGAGTCTGTGCTGAGGCCCCCGTGTGGGAGAGGGCTTTTAAACAATACGACTACAACAGGCCCTAGGGGTCCATTGCCAAGTCCTCAAAGCAGCCCAGGACCACACCTGATACCCTACCCACACGACAGTCTTGGGGCCACTGGGGAACAGTGGAGAGATAAAACAAGCAAGACATACACAAACATACATAATTGAACTTAGCACAGTTCCAGAACATGAGGCGCACATCTGACACCACCTCCTCCGGGGTGGTGTAGTGAGCCGGATCCTTCTTTTGCAGCTTCCTCCGGATGATTGACAGGTCCATGGGCCTCTTGATAATCTGGTAGTAATGCCGGGCCTGAGGGAGAAGGGAGCAAAACAGGAAGAGAAAAGTGCAGATAAGAGAAAAGAAGAGATGAAGAATGTGTTGGAATAGAAGGGAAAGAACATAAGAAAGAGGAAGGCAGCAAGAAGAAAAGTGTGGAAAGTGTGGAGAAAGAAGACAAAGAGAAAGGGAAAAGGAGGAATGTTTTACTTGTCAAGCCAGGTGGGATGCAGCAGCAGTTGGGGAGAGGCTGTGGCGGCCATGGCCCCCAGTCTCCTGAACCATCCACGGATTAATATACTGGCAGTGGCTGTGCTCTGAGTCCGCCTGGGTACCACCGTGGTGTGCCCCCAGGCCTCGGGTTCTCGGAGCAGAAAGCACAGGAGCAGAAAGCACAGGAGCAGGCAGAAAGAGCGAGGCCTTCCTTACCAGCGGGCTGACAGGTTCGTGGAAAGGCAGGCTGAGGCTATTGCAGCACAAGGACAGTACCAGCTTCTCGCACTTCTGCAGAAATCAGAATTGGCAGTGTTACTTTGTTCTAGCCCCACCTCAATAAGAACTAAAGAGAATGACCCTGATAACTCTAAAGGCATTGGCTCTGTTCCACAGGGAATGAGCCATCATACTCAGGCGCAGTTCAGCCTCCCGGGCCAGAAGAACACAGCTGGCAGAAGGAAAATCATAGCAAACTCCCAATGGGCCAAACTATCAGGCACAGCCCCAAAGAGAAGCACCTGGAGAAGCCTCTCATCCCCCTCAGAAATACCTCAGCCCGCAGGGAAGGAACCTTGCTCCCAAAGCCCCTCCCTACCTTCTGATCAGACGCGCTCAGTCCAGGAGGGGCCCGCATTCCAGGCTGGGTGTAGCGGGCATTCTCGCAGTCGTACTCCATCTCAGGCTTGGTCAGGCTGCGGCACAAGGTACACACCCAGTCTCCCCTGCAGAGGCGGGTGAGGCCAAGTTAGGCCTCAGCACATTGCCCAGAGCTCCCTCCCTTGTTCCTATGCCCCAAGGCAGGCATGGGGAGTGGGTGCTGACTGAGAAACTGAGTTCCTAGCCCTGCACTGTAAGGAATGGCTTCCTAGCCACAAGCCTGAGAGAAATTCAGTAACTGAGGATTTAGGGAATGCAGGAAAAGGGACATTATGAAGGGGCTGGAACAGGAATATAGGGATAATCTGTGTGCAGGAGGAAGCTGGGAAGGAAAGGAAGCCATCTGAATGTTAAACATCTACCTTCCTGTGTGCAGAAGGATCACAGCTGTAGGACCACCAGCTCTCAGACCTGCAATTAATGCAGGCCCAGGAAGGGGAGGAAGCCCACCAGAGGGAGCTCAGAAGGCCTGGCCCGAAATAATCATCCTTGGACGATCCTGCAAGGCAGACAATGGCCCTGGGTTGGCCTGACTCACCCTGGGAAGCTAAGCAAGGCTGGCAAGTGGCAGGAAAGGTGGTACACTTTGGGGCAGCGGTCACAGCACAGCAGCTCTCCCCCATTGAGGCACACAGCACAGAAGTCCTCATTCTCTATCGGTGCCGGGGGCCCCTTCTTGGCTCCAGCGGCTCGAGGAATGAGTCTGTGTTCTTCGGGAGATGCCCCCTCCACCTCTGGCGACTGCTGCTCAGCCAGAGATGTCACAGTGACCTTTCTTCCTCCCAGACTTGGGGCCTGGATGGTATCGGGCAGGTTTTTCTGACTGACCTGAAGAAGAAGTGAGTCTGAGCCGTGAGATACAGCACCAGGAGGCTATTGAGGGAGCGCAGGGCAGGGACTGACAAGCCCTGGACACCAACTTATTCCAGGACCGCCAGCCAGCCAAGCCCCAGGAGTGCTGGCAGCTCACCCCTAATGTGCCTCTCACAGGCCCAGTTCGACAGGGGACAAAGTCAGACCAAGCTGCAGCCCCACTCAGAGACTCAGGACAGGGTCAGAGCCAGAATTCTGGCAGTAGTGAAAAGAGAAGAGAGAAGAGAGCAGAGCAAAGTGGTACCTTAATGGACATGCTGGAGGACTCAGTACCACACTCGATGATCAACAGGAAGCTTCCATCCTGATCATTCTTTTGTGGCTTCAATTTGAACACAGGCATCTCTCCCGAGGAGGCAGCACAGATCTTGAGCCGCTCCAGCCGCACATAGGGAATCTTGGGCTTGCTATTGTAGGGTCTATGGCAAGAGAGACACCCTTGGGTCTCAGTCGGAGCCTCCTCTGGTCCCAACCTCTACATAGGACTCACCCAGGATCCCACAACTGAATTGCTGCTTGAGATCTCCTCAGTCCAACCCTCAGCAGACCCATACTCTGCCCTCCTGCCCAGCCCTGCCTGGCCAGGCCCTATCAACCTCTGGGAAGTCCTTTGGCAGAAGCAAGAGGCTCCATGAAGAGGAAGGACCGTGCAGAGCACAAGCCACGTGGTGCAGGAGAGCCACATCCTCCTCCCACCACCCCACACACCCAACCGCTCAGACCCTGCCTGCGGGTCTAGGGGTTGAAGTAGACAGTTGCAGGCAAACTTCTGCTTCGAGTTAAGTCATCAAGGATGCTTCCACCCTGTGCCAACCTCCCATAACGTGAATTTGAGGGGATAGGAGAAAAGGATTGAGTCAAGAATCTGTTACCTAATGATCTGGTTCTCCTTGGTATCCAGCTCTAGGGCTCCTTGTTCAAAATTCCCATACTCTAAGGCAAAAGAAAATTGTCTGTGACATATATTTAGGACAGCATACCTGTGACCCATACTCATATCTGCTACTCATACTTTGGCCACCCATCTGTCACACAATTGTTAAATACACTGTAATCATTTACATGGTGAAAATCCTACTGTGGCTCTCCTTCCTGAGAAGGGAAGATGGCCACCTTCTTTTAAAAAGATAAACACTCAGAGGCTGCCTAGGGGTTAGTGTTGGGCCAAGCGCTGAAAGGCCTGCATCTCATCTTCAAAGTGAGCTCAGAAATCACTGTTCTGCACACACTGGTGTTACCTGCTCTCAGGAGTCGTTCTGTCCAGCCTCTGCCTTTCCAGCCAAGTGCTGGGATTCCAGCACTGCCTGAGAATCCAGCTCACACTCTGTGGGCAAGAGGCTCCTGGGAGCCCTGCCTTGAGTGGTGCAGTCTGTGCAGGTAAGCAGGCAGCAGTCGGGGGAGAGAGGAGAAAACGAGCATTTACTGAGCTCCCAGCCCAGCACCAGGCACTGTCCTGGGCACTTACAGTCAAGCAGGATCGAAAAAATTGTGTTGCTTAAAATGCTGGGTTACATTATTGTGCAGTTAAGAACCAATCAGTTTTCATTTGGGCATTCAGTCAGTATGAGGAAAAAAAGGAGAATTATCATACACTGAACTGAAAAATCCCATAGGATCACTAGGCAGTTGCTTCCTAATTTCCCAACTAGCCTTCACCTTCCACAGAAGAAAGGAACTTCAGCCTAGCCCCACTGAGAAAGGGTGTAGTAGATGGGAAGAGGATTAAAGACCATCTCTGCTGGTCTAAATTCCTGTTACTATGAGGCACAACACAAATCCATGCTATTGCTGGGTGCAAGGCAAATTCTTGTTACAACAGTTAAGTCCCCAAATGATTTCCCTGCTATTTCTTGTCTCAGCAGCCCATGAGGCAGCTAAGATTAGCCACATTTATAGAAAAAGATACCAGCTCAGAAAGGTTAGGTATCTTGCCCAGGATCAAGCAGAGAAAAACAGTGCTGGTTTTCTAACTTATATCTATTTGACTCCAAAGTCAGACATGCTCTTTTCCCTAAAATAGTTTGCCAAGGCTAGCCCTTCTCTAGGGTGAGTTCTTCCTGTTACCGTCTACCTGTTCCCTGTAACCCAAACCCCCAGAATCCTTCTCATGAGGAATGATACTAGGAAGCTAAGTCCTGGGCCATGCCTGGATCAGCCCTGGCCACAGCAAGGGAAACAGAACAGAAATCAGTAAGTCAGCTCTGGAGGAGAGAAGTGAAGTTAGCCTGAGAGAGAAGCACTGCTCCCTCAGGCTGAGAGCCTGCCTACTACCTCTGCCTCACCTGGAAATGCTGAGCCCATCTGCTCAAGTCTGTGGCCAGGCTGCTTACTCAAGTCTCACCTTTTGGGTTCTGGTACTGCTGCAGAGCCATGGACGTGTTGACCACTGAGACCACAGGTGGCTTTTTCACAGAGAGGTTAATTGGTTCCTCGAGTTCTGAGGGGATAGCCAAGTCCTTGGAAACATCTAGACCAGAGGCTGTGGGGCCTTGTCCCAAAGAGTCAGTGAAATGGGTGGAATCCTCCCCTTCCATCTTTGAAAAGTAAAAGGCCAAGAAAAACCAAAGAAATCAGACATTTTTGCTGTTAGCAGTCACAGAGCTGTTAGGCAAAAGCCAGGAAAAGGTCTTCAGGGGCCACCTTCTTTGCTCAGTGATGAGCATAAAAAGTGAAATGGCATTTTCCCAGGACTTACCTTGCACAGGGCATTCCCCACAGAGGGGTCAGCCCCATCGCCAGGGCCCAGGCTCCCCGCAGCTCGGCCAGGGCCAGGACTGCAGCTGGCTCCAGTTTCCAGCTGCACGTCAGAAGCCGGAGGCATGCTCTGCAGAGGACAAGCTGCTAGACTTGGCACGGCCTGGGTGGGACCAGACATTAGGCTGGGACCGGCCTGAGAGTAATCACTTGCTAGGCTTGTGATGGCCTGGGAGGAATCATTCATCAGGTTGGGCATGGACTGGGGTGTGCCACGCACAAGGCTGGGCACTGTCTGCAGGTGACTGGCTGCCAGGCTGGACACAGTCTGGTTCTGACCGCTCAGCAGGCTGGACACGGTTGGTGGGGGGCCACTCAGCAGGCTTGGTACTGCCTTGGGGGGGCCGGCTGTCACGCTGCTTATGTTCTGGATCTGTGGTTCTAGGGCCCTCGCCAGCCTCGTAGATGACAGCTCCATTTCCAGCGTGTTGGAAAAGCCCATAATGCTCACAGAGGTGGAGTGCTGCAGGAGCAAAGGCAGGGCTGTCAGGCTGTTGGCTAAGGGTGTGGGGATGGTGAGAGGGAAAGGGGAGATGCGGCCCCTAAGAGCTCCCCTCTTTTATGTTCTCATAAATCCTTGTACTTTATTCTCATAGCACAATTGGTGACACCATTTGATTAATGTCTGCTTCCCCTAAAAGCTGTAAACTCCATTAGGGCATGGATTTTGTCTATGTTGCTTACCCTCTGTATTCCTATACCCAGGAGCAATGCCTGACTAAATAAATAAATTAATGAACTACTTACATGTTTTTAAAAAAAAGAACAATAACTCATGACTGTTTATTCTACAAATCTTAAGCCAAGTGAATAGCAGCTTAGTTTCACTAACAATTGAGTCTATGAGCTTCTCTAAAATAATGATTGTTTTTATGTTGCTAAAATTTATTAAGAATTTATTATACGCAAGGTAATTTGCTGAGTGTTTTACATACATTTCCACATTTAATCTTCAAAACAAACATTGAAGGCTTGTTGTGAAGGCTAAAAGAAAGAACCCATGTAAACATTTAGAACAATGTCTAGCACATTGTAGCTACTCAATAAACCCCAACTACTGGTATCATTATTTTTACTGTTGTGACCCTAATTTTACACTGGAGTAAAAAGCTACAGAATATTAAGACTAAAGATACTCATTTCATGTACAGGAAGAAAGAAGGGGGATGAGAACCCCCATCCAGAAAGGTATCTGAAGTGTTTTTTTTAATGTTATTGGAAACCTGATTTTGTAAATTTCCATTTCTTTTTGTTTGTGCTCACATACAGTAAAACAATGGATTTTTGTATTTTGACCTTCTACTCAGAGACCCAGTTAAAGTCACTTTGGGATTTTTCTGTACACACAAGTCCTGTCACCTGTGAACAGTAAGTTTTATTTCTTCCTTTCCTTATATTTGTTTTTTCTTGCCTTACACCACTAGCCCAGACCTTCAGCACTAGGTTAAATAGAAGTAGTCATAGTAGCCATCCTAGTCTCATTCCTGATCTCAGGGGGAATCCTTTCAACATCTCACCACTAAGTAGAACTTTTGTAGATTTAGCATCTAGTTCTCTGCAGCTGAAGGCACACTCTAAAGTCTGGCCTATTTGCCTCTATCTTTCTCTATGCTTCCTCCTTTCCCCGTCTTTCTCGTACTTTGTTCTTTCCTCTCTGTCCTTCCCGTACCTGCTCTTTTCTCTCTCCTGACCTTCTTCTCTCTCTTCCTCTCCCCTGTTTCTTTTTTCCTTATCATCTTTTTCTCTTCTCTCCTGGCCCTTTTCCTGTATTTTTTTTTTTTTTAGCAAAGCTTATATTTTGTATTCTTGGTCTCAATTTTAAAAGGAGATGAGCTAAGTACCCTTTATCTCTCCAAAGAAAAGTTTGCTTTTTCATATGTTCCTTGATAGTTCAATAGTCTTCAATAAAACAGGTTCAATTTGCTTGCAGGGGTGTCCAACCTTTTGGCACCTCTGGGCCACACTGGAAGAAGAAGAGTTGTCTTGGGCCACACATTAAATACACAAACACTAATGAAAACTGATGAAGAAAAAAAAGGTTTCAAGTAAATTTATGATTTTGTGTTGGGCCGCATTCATAGCCAACCTGGGCCTCATGTGGCCTGCAAGCTGTGGGTTGGACACCCTTGCAGTATAGTCTAAGTCCCAAGATAAGGAAGGTTGAGGAGAAGGTAGGATGAGGGGGAATGATCAAACCAAATGAGGCAGACTAGGCGGGGAGCCCAGCTTCAGGGACTGCAGTTAGAAACAAAGATTTACCCCAAACATAACCTGGCCCACATTCTGTGGCATCACTTTGTTGCCCTGGTTATGTACTACATAGCTTTCTAATATTCCATATTTCCTTATCTATGGACAGGAATTTCCAATGATGATTGCACTCCCTTTTGTTATACAGGATAATCTAATCCTTTCAGTTGGATTCTTTTACCTTTTCCCTGTCTGACATGTATATTTAATGCAATCCTAGTGCTCATTTCATCTACTGATGATACACATAGCCCTCTGTCTCTTGATGAGATCCTTTGTGCCAAGCATAAAGAGGATCAAAATCTACCCAGGCCTATCCAAGTAATGGTCAGGCGCTATAATGGCACAAGATATGCACAAAATTAAATTCCCAAAGACAAAACTTTCCAGATTAGGGGTAGAGATCACATTTGTAGGGTATCAATTCTCCTGTCCTGATTACTTATTGCTATCACAAAATGTGATTTAATATAATAATAGAGGAGAGGAGAGCATGGAGATTAAGCCATGGAAGAACTGTGGAAACTCTGTCATAGTTTATTTTAACCTGGACCTGATGGACCTGTTCCCATAAATACTCATGACAGTGTTATAATAATACAAGATCAGTAACATGTCCTAAGATACTGCAGACTAGACTGGTCTCTTTTGTCTCCATATCTACAGCCAGTCTCAAGGGGGCCAAGGCTCTCAAGAAGTGGGGTGAAGCTCTGGCAGTGGTAACGAGAACCTAGGAAACATCCAGGGGGAATTCTGAGAAGAGACTCAGAGCAAGTGCTATGAGGAAGTCAGTCCCAACTCCATTTCTACAGGCTATACAAACACAATCGCATTTCTGGAACCTACGTGTGCTGAGTATTATTTTGGGGTGCTTCGTCTGTATCGCTGGAGTGAAGGGCTACAAAAATAGCAAAGCAAAAGGTACTCACTTCATGTACAGGAAAAAAGAGGAGAACTGAGAACCTCCATCCTACTCTACTGACAGGGTTACAGGGTGGGTAGGGGTAAGGGAAGGGTCTACTTTCAGGGTCAGGAAAGCAGGCTGAGTCTCTAGGGCCTGCAAGAAAGGAAAGGGCTTCTGAAGTGCACGCTAGGGTTGGGGAAGGGCTTGGGAAAGTGGGAACACCTGACACTGGATGCGTCGCACGCAGGAGGAGCTCATCTGTCAATGGAGAGGATGCTGCCTGCCCTCTCTAGCACCCAGGATCACTGAGAGGTTAAATGAGAAATGGTGAAGGTCTGTGGCCAGCTGTAAAGTCTGCATAGAGCAATCACTGACACTTCCAAGCTGGCAGGTTCATAACTGATACCCTGATCTCATCTTTACATGCAAAACCTTCAGATTTCATTGAGAAAAATGTGTATTTGAAATTTTCAAGTGAAAATAACCATTTTCTAGTTCAGGGAAGGAGAGAAGTCAACACGCCAAAAACATCCACTCTGCTAATCCACTCAGGTCATCTTTGGGATGAGAGGGGAGACTGCCCTGAGCCTAAAGAGCCCTTCCTTACCTTTCTGATCTGGCATATCCTCACTGCCCCTAATTTTCTCTCTTCCTAAACTGTACATTCCTGTCCCTGTCCCTGTGCTCTTCTTGTGTCTTATCTCTTTTTCTCCTCATCTCTCTTTGTACCTGCTTGACCTGGGACTTCTCTGACTCACCTCACCTAGAATGTATACCATCTACCTGTCTGAACCACCTGCCTCCACAGCTTGCCTGGCCTGTTACTTCCTGAAATTGTTGGACTTTTACCCTCTTCTACTAGTCAGCTATGCAATCCTCATCCATCTAGCCTGCCTCCTGTTCCCCCTGTGCTCTGTTACCTCTCCCCATCCTCACCACCTGGATCTTTTTCTGGAGTTGAACAATGTGTTAACATTGTTATTATAATTATAGCCACATGGTGATGTCAAATATCAGAGAAATCATTGTTTTTTTTTTTCATTTCATCATGAAGGGAAATTGAGACACAGAGTGATTACTCACATTTCCCAAGACTGTATAGGCCCAAGACTAGGAATCTGAGCCTGGCCTTAAAAATCTACTGGCTGGTCTTGATTTTGTGTCATTAGCTAGAAAGCTAGGGCCCAAGTAAGAGGGAATTGAGAAGTCAATAAACAGACACTTAGTGCACACATGCCCTGAGTTTAATATCAATTTCAGGTTCTTACAGCAAGATAATAGTGCTGGGGACAAAGTAATGCAGATAGGGTGGTGTTCCACAGAAATTCATCTTTCAGATAGCTGAAACATAGCTTTAAAATATTATTTTGAATGGAAGCACTTCTGAAACACTTTACACACGACCCAGCCTTATTCAACAGAGTACACAGAGCCTAATGAGACAATTTCTTTAGAGACACAAAAGAACTTTGATGAACTTCTATTACTGGGGTGGGCTATAGGGAACTTCTAAGAATGTAAGGCTTGGCTTTTCCTTTCGGTTCTCACAATATGTCACTTTCTAGGTGAAGTTTCTTTCCTTCTCCCTTGTTGTTAGCTGCCATTATAGAAGTCCTGACTCCCTGCTTCTACTCTGCTTACTGCTGTAATGCAGGAAAACTAAAAATTTCCAAAGAAAACCATATGACTAAGCTTTCTAGATCGACAATGTTGACTAGACACCTGAGTATGGGCTTGTGATCTCATACACAATATAATGCAAAAGTTTGTGACATCTGTTTTTGCTGCTGTTCCAAAGCTTTGACTGATCACTTCTGATGTCAGGTTTTTGTTCCATTAATTAAAATTGTCAAAGGCTAAACACACTGTGTAAATGTGCAGTAGGAGAAGGGACCACTGACTTGGCAGTTGGGTCTTGGAAACATACTGAAGGCCTTCATTGTGGCTGAAGGAAACAGATAAGGAGACAGGGATAGAGGTAAATAGATTTGTGAATTAAATCCTTGGAATATTTGCGTGCTTCAACAGCTTCAGAGTAGGTAGACTGGTTTAATATAATATAGTATATCTTGAAATGGCTGAATCAGATAGCTGAGGAAGGAACTAACTTTTTAGAAGATGGTTTCACAAGCTAATTTTTAATAGTGAAGTCATCGCTCTTGTTGACAGTGAGGGCTAAGCTCTTGTATGAATTAGGGCTACTACTGTGACTGTAACTATGTTGATTTATGCGAACTGACTGGAGTCAAATGAGGGAACTAAAGAGTGCCCAGTGCTCTGATGATCCCAGAAAGATAGAAAAAACAAAGAGGACCCCAAAGTCTGAAATGGAAAGAAGAGGAAAGGAATAAATGGATTTCAGTATGTCTGACATGAAAGCAGAATGAGACGAGTCCTCAAAACACTTGGAGGGTTTCAAGCCTTGGTGAGTCAGGAGAACTATGCCAGAGGTTCTTTGGCCAGGCCAGGGCAAGGAAATTTAAGACCTACACACAAGGACCTCTTTCTTCATGGACCAGGAGACCCAAACAAAGAGCTTGAGTTCGATCTGTGAAATAAATCAGGCTAGAGCTAGAGACAGGCTTCTAGATGTAACTAAAGTCAGGGACGCAGGCCTGGGGAGTGTTTTGATTCCCGAGTAGGACAGTGGATCTCTATGTAGATAGTTCTACACATGCTAACACAGGCTGTGCCCTAAGAAAGCCTCACCAGGCATTTTGTTCAGGAACATTTTGAGCAACAGTTGCTCTCAGGGCGAGGCTATGATGTGAGATCATGGCTGAGGTTGAGAACCTGTGATGTGATCCGTGGCAGTGGATTTGGAGACTAGGAAGGCAGGATGCCTAATATGTCCTCATTTATGCCAGGGTTCAGAGTATGAGTTTAAGCATGTCATTTCCTGTCTCTGGGCTTTAATTTCTTCTTCCACAGGTTGATGTGAATATCACTGAGTTGTAAGAATCAAATTTAGAGCTCAGGCATCAAAGTGCTTTAATAATGGTAATAAATGCTATTTGTATGAGTCATACTCCTTTACTCTTCTGCTTCACTTTTAACAATCTGGACCACAGGAATGCCTACTTCCTCAGTAACATTTACTGAAAATACACCCCAGACTCCTCTCAAGCCATAAACAACATCCTGGTGGCCTCGAAGTCCTCTGTTAAAGATTTGGGGCCACTTTGTGAGCAGAAGAGAAATCCATCTTGCTGGTGAAGTGGGGCTCAGATAAGGCTCTCTGTGATGCCTTCAGCCGTGACTCTGTGAGAGCTTTGTGTAAAGGGGTATATGTATTTTCCAGCAGTCAACTAGTTCAGAAGTATGAAATGAAGCCATCAAAATGTCTTCTGGTTTCACTTCAGAGGTAAGAGGGTTCTGTCGTAGAGCTGGAACCACGGTCTTTTTTCAGAGTGGCTAAACCAAGACTAGGAAGCTTAGGCAACAACTAGTGTCAGACAAATGTCAGAGTTCATTCAGAAACATCCTGGTGGGTTCAGGGAAGGTGGTGGGATAAAACGCGCCTGAGATTGCAGACCTCAGGCCACTAGAAAACCCATTCTAGAACTTTCACATTTCATTTTCAACAGCAATTTGCTTTCACATCAGCTCATTTACTCCCAAGTCCTCGGTACTTGTGCACAGCTGCTCTGCTATAACAAAAATCATTCTTGTGATGATATAAAGTCAGTGAGCAGCTCAGAGCATGAATGAGTCCCTGTGGAACACACAGAGAGGTGCCTGGTGCCATACGTTCCTCTGATCTGTGACCTTCAGATAGACTTCTCATTTCCCTGGTACCCAGGCCAGTACAGACTGAGGAGTGGGCTGGAGGCTAAACAAAACTTTTACCATATAAGAAAACCAAGACCAAACTAGGCTGGCTCCTAAGACCTCTCCCCAGCAAGGCCTCAGGCTACTTCAAAGAGTGTGAGGACAGGGAAATCCAACATGTGAGAGGCCAAATGGGGTCCTACCTTTCCCACTGCAGTGCACAAACACAGGTAATTTAACCTAGTCACTGAATGCAGGGTTGAGTCAGGAACCTGTGCTCTGGTCCTAACATTGCCAATAATCAACTGTATAACTCTTAGATGGGTCACTTAACCACTCTGTGTCTTAGTTTCCACAACTTTCAAAGGGGAGCAAGAAAGTGGCTTCCTCGTAGTATTTCTAGGATAAACAAATAGATAAAATGGAATAATTCATGTAAAAATCTATGGAAAAAGTAGAAAATGCTATGCAGAGTATTACCATTCATTGATAAGATGCCCAAAATGTTATTTGGTATCCTCAAGCTTCATACCTCCACCCTGCCCAATTCTTGGCTTAGATCAATGAGTGCCCTCAAAAAGAAAGACCTTTTTCTTATTTAAGAAGCTTTGTGTATAATTAGTACTCTCTCAGTCAAGTAAACCCAAGGGGTCCTCTGGGCCAGTATGACAATCCTGAGGTTTCTTTTTCTGGGAGTCCAGGCCATGAAGAAGCCTACAGAACATGTGGGAAATTCCAGGTGCCTTGGTCTCTCAACCTCTGCATGAGCCCAGGTTAATAATGAGAAGTTAGAGTTCCTAGGACCTTCACTAACCCCACTTCCAACCTGCAGCCACACAGGAGGGCAGTATCTGCTTGCTGCTCAGACAGCTCTGTAGGCCACCGCCACTCAGCACAACTCCATGCCTGAGCCTGGCACACCTCCCTTCCTTCCTCTGTCCTGTGTTTAGGTACAGAACTGAGACTCATTAAACAAGCAGTGACCTTTTTTGCATGGCTTCCACTATCACTTGAACACTGGCCATTCCTCTGCTTCCTTCTGAACTACTGACATCTACAGCTAGCTGCTTTCTGGTCATCTTCTAATGTAGCTTCCACAGAAAAACAGCAACAATTCAAAACTTGTTTTCCCCCCTAAATATGCTTTCTTCCCATGCTCCCACCTCAGTGAATGGCAAAGCAGGGAGCCAAAACAGACCTGGGTGTTAAGCATTTCTTTTCCTCACTTCCCATTTAGACTCAATCAGACTGAGTCCAAAAGCTCCTGTAATCTGATTTCTTGAAGTCCTTGCTTCCTCTTTAGTCCCATCACTACTGATTTCATTCAACCTCTCTAATTTTTCTTCTGTACTATTTTGGTCTCCCTTATTGCTGCTAAAGTGATTTTTCTAAAATTTAAATCAAACCTGGCCTCTCCTTGCTAGAAATTCTTCATTCACTCCTCAGAACCCACAGACTGGATGCCATAGGCCTTCCATAGGCCTCTCTGGGTTCACTCCCATCCCACAGTACAGCTCATGTTCCTACCAAGTCAAATTAGCTGATACCTAAGTGTCTGAGGCTTTCTCTTACTTCTGGAGCTTCCAACTTACTATTCCCTTTGACTGTTTATTCTATCCTCCCACTCCCACCCCTTTCAATAGCCTAACTTCTCCTTCAAATCTCATCTCAAAATCATGTCCTCTAGGAATCTTTTCTGTACAGTCCCTTCGCCCAGGGTTAGGTGTTCTTTCTATGCACCTATCACAGCACTTTATCCTACTTTACTTTTGTTGCTTAACTGTCTCTCCCTCTAGACTTAAGCTCCAGCATGAGACTATTCACCAATGTGTGCCTGACACCTAGCAAAATTAGTACATTCTAGGAGATTTATATATAATTTTTGAGCATTGAGTGAATAAGTGTTTGGATGGCTAGGCAGTTGGTCTAAGTATAAGAATTTAAGGACCCAAGTATTAAACCTTTACCTTAAGAGCCACAGAGGGCCTATTTATAGCATTCCTATGGCCAATAGGCCAAAGCATTTTGACAGGTAGAGTAGGAGAGCGACAAACAAAGAGCCACTAATACAAGAGACCTACCCAGACTGTAAGAGTCATCAAGGATTTCCAAGTTAACATTTCATTTTGGCCATCCCTTATTTTTCTAAACCTATTCTCAGGTATCACTGAGATAGACTGACCTAGGACATACTTGGCACTAGAGCTGCTAGGGAAACGTGGTAAGGGGTAGGTACACAGGACGACTTGTGAACTGGGGCTGTAGTCCAGAGCATTGCTGCAGGGCTGAGGGTGCAAGCTAGAAGGGCAAAGAGTAGCTGACAGAGCTTTAAGTACAGGGCTGAGTGCAAGGCATTTGGAGGGCCGAGGGGACCAGACCAGAGAAGGCAACAGGATAATAGGAACAGGGCCAAGGTACAAAGGGAGGGCTGAGTGGAGGGCATGGCACAGTACTGAGGTTCCAGCTAGGAGGATGACAGGGTGGGGAAAAGGCAAGGGTAAGAGTAGGACAGCTGAGGAGTAGAGGGGTTCTGGGTTATCACCAGTGAAAGTGAATACCTCCAGCAAGCAGGGAGGTGGGTGGACAGGTAGGGCTTCAGTAGCTGATCTTCAAGAGATCTCAATGCACTGAGCTGCTCAGGACGTCCCTACAGACCACTCACCCGACAAATTCCACTGATTCTAATTCTAAGGCCAACCAGCTTTGGGTTATGGGGCTGCAGGAAATACTTCCCTCATTTTCATTGCAGAGAGGAAGAAGTTCAGTCTTTGGATTCTGACAGACTTCATTTTCAATAAACTGCAGCCCTTTCACCTACTAGCAATAGGGCCCTGGACTTCAATTTCCTTAGCTATAAAATGGGGGTGCCCACTTCACAGAACTGTTGGGAGGGTTGAGATAATGCTTATGAAGCACATGCACAGTTCTGAGCACAGAGTAAATGTTCAATAAATTGGTTCTTTCCTTTTCTAAATGAACCTCAGTGTCATTTTAAGTATATATTTATGGGCGTGGAAATGGGGGTGAGAAGGACTTCTGTTGCTGACTCATTAGAACAGAAGGCATGAGTCAGGGCTGTGCAGCATCCAGGGATGGAAGAGCGACACCCCTCCCCCCGCCCAGTCCTCCTCATCCAGCTCCCTGGGGTCTTGGCTGGCAGTGGGTCCCGTGTGGTTAGGAAAAGCAGGTTCTGTTAGTACCTTTCTCACCACATTTGTAGAGGAGTGCTGGGTGGTGCTGTCCAGTGAGGGGACACTGTGAGGGGTTTCTTCCCCAGATGACTGGGGCACGTTAGCAGCAGTATTCTTGTCAAGAGAGAGAGCTGGCTTTGAGCCTTCAGATGCTGGGGGCTCATCTGTAGCCTGGAGAAGAAAATAAAACCTTGGTGGGTTTCGCTGCTGAGCGAAGCAGCAGCAGTAGCAGCAAAGTTTAATGCCCACCCTGTGTTCCCTGGTAGCACAACTGTGAACTGTCTAAAGATTTTTCAGAGAGACAAATATCCTTATCTAAATTCTAAGACTACATCCTAATAACAGTCTTAAGATAAAACCCCAACAGAGAATTCTGAACAAATTCTGTCATATTCATCTCAGTAGTCACAAAAGTTACGACTTACATTTAGCTTGTGGTCCTCTATGAACCCTAGATTCTTTGCTGCTATCATGAGGATTATTCTGTATCCCTTCATAGAAACTGAGCCTCAGAGGAAAACAATGAAACATGACCTAAAGTGGTGAGTACTAAGCATAAATGTGAGAACCTATATTTTGTACTAAAAGTAACAGTCTGTAGAGCTGCTTTGAAGACATAAATGTTATTACAGACTTAAAGGAGACAGCACTATGGGAAAAGTGAGAAGTAAAGGGAAGGGGCTGGAAAAGAAAGCTCTGGAGAAAAAAAGAAAAGCTAAAGTTAAGAATGAAGATGTAGAGGGCAACAATGATCCCAGAAGTACAAACTGTACCTCTTCAGTTGGCTTTTAGCTGAGAGAAGAGAGAACCATTCATCATGCCCCCTAGTGAGAGAACAGGGACTCTTCTGTTGTGTTACGGAGTCAACAGACCTGGATCCAAGACTTGGTTCTACCACTCAATGTTTTATGATCTCAAGGCAAACTCCTCACCCTTTCTGACCTCCATTTCTATATCTATGAAATACAGAGAGTAATGCCCACTGAAGAGCAACAGCGCTGTTGATAAGTCCTGATGATAGTGTATATAAAACATACCTACTTTAGTAGGCTTGAAATAAATTTTAAGTCTATAGCTGTGTAGTGTTAGAAAAATGCTGCCCACAAGCATCTAATGCATACCCTCTCTCCACTCCTTAGGTTCTCCCTTTCCCCTGTCTGGGCTTCATAAGTTCCCAGCAAGGAAAGTGAGGAGGTTACAAAGATAAGGGACAGCCTCCCTCTGCCATGGCACTGACAGGAGTCCAGCACAGGTCAGAAGGTTCTAGTCAATGTTCCTGGTGTCACAAGAAGAATAGGGCTAAGCGAGGCCACTCTGGCGAGTACTGAGCCCAGTTCTATGTTGGGAATAGGTACTGTGTTCTCCGGGGCTTTCCTGAGATGTGAGGGCTATGCTCAAGGCCACCTCAAGATGAAGAGACTGTGTTCCTGTGCCACCCTGTGAACTGGGGAGGCTGTGTTCCCTGAGTGACCCTAGGATGGGGTGAATATGTGCCCCAAGCCACCCTGAGGCTCACCTGTACGGTGTCCTCCTGGCTCTGGGACTGGATGGGTGCTGGCTGCCTCACGATGTAGTTGATCTGCCCAACAATGGTTTGCTGAAGATGCTGAGGTGACTTGGTCTGACTCAGTTGCAGGCTGGGCTGTTGAGCCTGAAGGAGAAGCTCCAAGTCCTTCTGCATTTCCTCCAGCTCAAACTTGTGGTGCATTATGTCCACATTCTGGGAACAGGCAGGGCCAGGAGGGCTCTCATGCTGACTAGGAGCCAGATGCTGGGATGGAGGTAGAAGTGGGGGTGGCTGTTGTTGGGGCGGAGGTGGCAGAGATGGTGGAGGTGGCAGCTGCTGCTGTGGCTGCTGCTGGAAGTGGCTGAGCTTCAGCTTCTGGTGGTGGCCAAATTGGACTTGGATAGAAGGTGTCTGTAAGGTGGGCTGGGCATGGGCTCCTGGCTGAACATCCTGCGGGGGGACGATGCACACTGGCTGGGAAGTCAGCTGATGCCCCAGGCGCTGGGCTACGTTCTCCGGCTCCACAGCAGGCTGGGTTTCCAGCCAGGGCTGCATCAGCTTTGGGGGGTGAGGGTTGCAGGGCAGCTCCTTCTCCCTGGGCAGCATGGTGGGGCACTGCAGCGACCCCAGCTGTTGGGGCACTATCTCAGGGGGCTGCCGAAAGCTGTGGGCTGGGTGTATGCTGGGTGGGGGGGCCTGGCCTTTGAGGGAGGGTGAGACTGGGGAGCAGTGAGAGCAGCACACAGACGAGGAACACAGTGCTGGAGAATGGAACTTGTGTGAGGGGTGGCTGAGAGTGTCCTGCTGAGCCACAGGGGACTGGTGGCTTTGATAGAAGGATGATGGTCCCTGTAAACCTCCATAAGCAGGGGTATCTGCCCGGGACAGCTGTCCACCTTCTGTAGTTATACAGCCTGGAAGTTCAGAATAGAGAGTGTTTCCAAAGGTAACCTGAAGTTGTTCCCTACTTGCTATCTCCTGCTCCTATGACCGATCAATGGACATCATTCAAGAAACCTGTACCATGCACAGAGATTAAGAAATTTAACCCCTGATCTCTAAGACACAGTCTTGAATAAGACCAGTAATTGAGTCTGTATGGACCAGCTTTGGGGGCCCGGGACATTAAAAAAATTGGCTCTGCTTTTACCAAATGCTCAGTCCTGACTCTGTATCCAACTAAAGAAACCACAGAATTTCTCTAAGAGCACCCATTCTTTTTTTTAACAGAATAGCCCCACAGAGAATGAGTCAAAAAAAAAAAAAAAGTCAACATTGAAGATAGGGAGGGAATGTGCTAGAAAGTGGCAAAGAGGAGTCATCCACAGAACAATGAGCAAGTCTTCAAATACAGTCCTGGGGAACTGTGTGCAGGGTAAACAGGGTGGCAGAGAGGGGAAACTCCAACGCCAGCTCCGTGCCAGGTACCAGCACTGTCCTCTGAGGTCCCGGGGCCCTCATGCACGAGTAGATAGTATCTATTGCTAGCTCAGTCTAAAAGCTCCTTTGGCTCACTGTTTTGATGAGCCTTACTCAGGGGAAGGCTAGGCAACTTAAGGGAAGAAGGTGTCTTATTCACCTTTGGTCTCTTAGTGCCCAGAATGAGACCTGACCTAGAGCAAGGGCCCACCAAAGGTCTATTGAGTTAAATCAGAGGGAAGATGGCAGCAAAATAAAATCCCAAATATCATTCATTACTCTGTCAAGTTCAAAAAACTGTCAATGACATTAATAGCCCAGATGAAGGCAATATTTGGCCTTTAGTTTAACAAACCCACCACTAGGTTGTTAATACAGACACAACTACAAGTTGTCTATATTCTGCTTGAAGACTGAATGTCAGCACATTATTGCAGCAGAAAAGAAAAATGCACAAGGTCATGAATTATCTGCTTACATCTCAACTCCAAAGGATGTATGCGATGTTCATTTTCTCTATCCTATCTTTCTCCTCTTTCCTCCCTTTTTCCTTTCTTCTCTCTCTTTCCTCTCTTCCATCTGTCTTTCCTCTCTCTCCTCTCTCCTGTCTTTTTTCTCTCTTTTTCTCTTTCCCCTGTCTCTCCTCTTTTTTCTTTTTTCTCTTCCTTTCCCTCTCTCCTACTCCCTCCCATCCCCCTTCTTCCACTCTGCTGCTGATATACCTCTCTGTGCACCCACACACATATACCCCTGCACAGGCACACAGGTTCACCTGCACTGCCATCCAATATTCTGGAGGCAGGGCCACTGTCTTGACTCCTCTCCATCAATGAACCCAAGGTAACAGGGACATTCATGCAGAATGGGAAGCTCAGATTTCAGCTAGTCCTGTTATGAAAGTCCTGCATAGCCACTGGTATTTAAGCCATTCTCTCTCTCACCCACACCCCAACCCCCAACCCCCCAAAACAGGTTTGCTGAATGACCTCTGGCAGTCCCAGGGAGTGCTTTCTCTTGGGCATAGGCTGACTTTTCCAGGAAGCTAAGCAGATGCTTTATATTCATTCCCAGGAATTATGTAAAGCCCACAAGCTAGGCCCTGGCTCACCAAGGGAAGCCAGCTGCTTGGTCCAGAAGTTAGGCTCCCAAGTGAATCTGATACTCCAGGGGGAGCCAGGATCTGTGTTACAATTTGTCTCCAGCAATCGCTGCATCTGAAACACAATCTGACAACAGCACCAAAGTTATTTCTTTATGCTTTTGTGCCTGAATGACAACTCCCCCTCCCTCACTCTTTGGACAGGTTGAAGGGCTCAAAGCCATAGCTCTGTAGCCTCAGGTCTTCTGCCATATGCCCATCCCCTTGAATCTTAGTATCCTCATATCCCTCTCCTGTCTCATCACCACCTATCCACCTGGAACTCCCCCCATTCCCCTTTGACCCCCTTCCTCTTATTGAGGCTTCTGGAAGCCCTACATTCTTATTTCTCCCAGGCCACAAATGGTTTGTAATTCATCTCAGGAAGTCTCTTGCCTGGCAGTCCTCTCACGAGTGCTCCATTCATTCTATCACATCTCAATTTATAAGCCTATGAGGGCAGGCAGTCTCTGAGCTCCACATGGCTGTCCGTCCAGCCACATGTGAAACTCCCTTCCATCCTAATCAACTGACCTCTTCCTCCTTGATCACTTTCATCTGTTTCCTATCCCTAACTCTCCCATTTATCTAGGACTCCGGCAAATGTCCAACTTATCCTGCCATGATCTAGTTAACTAATATCCCAATCAACATCTTGGCCTCTTACTTCCTTAATTTCTTTAATGTCAATCAACTTCTCTCTTTTCAATTCCGTCATCCTTTTCATCATCTAGAACCATTTTACCTGTGAGACCATAAACTCCAACAACCTATTACTTGATCATGAATAGTTCTTACTCTTTCAGAGCATGCTTTTCAGCTCATTGAACTCTGTAAGCCTGCCTCATCAGTCCACAGGGCTGACTCGGCTTTCCATCTTTTCAGTAACAATATCACTAGTGCCCTAATTCCCTCCTCACCATCAATGCCTAACTTCAGGGCAATTCAGCCATTTCAAGGTCATGTTATCTGGGATCATTTCAGTGATCATTAACCTCAATCCCTTTTCTTGTCATTGCCTTTCTTGTCAGCTTCCTCTTCCACTGTCCTTGGTGACTATTTAAAATCTTTACATATCTCCTCAATGACACTTACCCAATGCTTAAACTTCTTAGTATCACCTTCAACTTCACAGAGAGCAAAAGAGGTCATAAAGGGCAAGCTCCCCAAACTTGTATCCTTCCTACCTCCCAACTTAACTACATTATACTGATGCCTTCCTGTCCTCCCATCTCAAAGGAAGGGAAGGCTTCTTATGTTTAAGGTCAACCAGTTTACTCTAGATCCCACGTCTTTCTGCCTTCTCAGTATATTCACTCCACCACACAACTCTTCTCTTTTCAACTTCAACCAAATAAATGTGTGCGTGTTTTCCACATTTAAAAAAAAAAAAAAAAAAAAAAAAAAGTCTGTCTCCTTCTCAGGCTGCCTTCTATTTCCCATCTTTTCATTTCTATCTCTCCTTCATCTCCCATCCTCAGTCCTCTCATTCTGGCTTTTAACCCTTCTACTTTGTTAGAATTTCTTCCAAAAAATCACCAGGGGCCTCCTGATTACCAGACCTCAGGGTGTCTCTTCACTACTCATCCTCTTTCACCTACCTAGCAATAACATTGACTACTTGAAATTTTAAACTGTGAAATTTCTGTGCACCACACGCTCCTATTTCTCCCTAGATCTGTCCTTCTCACTTCCCTGCACTCATCGTCTTCCACTCTTTTCTGCTGAAAATCATGGTATGTCCCTGGGTTCCAGATTTGTTCTTTTCTTCTTCCTTCACAGACTCTTCCAAGGTGACACTACAGATATACCAGAGACTCCCACACCTCTGTCTATTCTGACTTCTAGACCCATCTATCAAAACAGATTTTGGATATCTCCTTTTAGATGCCCTATAGGCACCTTAGATTCAAGGTCCTCTGCCATATGCTCATTTCCTTGAATCTTAGTATCTTCATATCCTTCTCCTGCCTCCCCATCCAATTATAGATCCCACCAACTTCTCTCAAAGTTCTGGCTCCTTCTCCTGGGCATCACCTTCCTCCAAAGCCCAACATTTCAACACCACCCTTGACTTCTTTCCTCTTCACCCCCCATTTAAACCCAAATAACTTTGTTTGGGATGACCACCACACTTCTAATGTCCAGGATAATTTCTAAATCCATGACCTAAGACAAATAACTACAGAATTTCCCAGCTGAGTTGCCTAGAGGAAGGCGGGACGATTTCATTGCAGGGTTTGATAAAAAATGGCATTCACTAACTCAAAAGCAGTGACTGAGGAATTAAGAGTTTTTCTTACCAGCTCTTTGCTGAAAAGGAAAGGGACACTGGTTTTGCTGCAGACAGCCCAGTTGATGAAATTCTGCACATGCTCAAACTGACGGTTGAGGACCATGATGCTCTGTAACTGCTGCTCCAGCTTCCGCTTCCTCTCATTAGTAATGCCCTGAGCACAGAGGGAGAAGACAAAGTCCCTGATCCTATCATTGGACTGAAGTCTACCTGCTTGGGAAATCTGGTGGCCTATGTGTATCAATATGAACATTGATGGAATCAGGTGAGACTGCATCCGACAGGAGGACAGAGGGACAGAGTGCTGCCATGGGTTGCTGAGGGATTGAGGAAGGGAGGGAGAAAAAAGTGGGTATATTTTATAGTGAGAGTATGGAATAGGTGATGTCTACATCTCTTGGGCATAACTAGATGAAGACGGTGGGCTGTTGCATGACTCTCTTCCAAGGTTATAACGCTGTATAGGTTCAGGAAGGCAGCTGCCTTACAGCCACAGCACTGATGGGAGTTTGAACTAATTTTCTAGCCCTTAATGAGCCACCCTCCCAAAATCAGACTGGACATTTTAAGATATAGGGAACAGGAGAGAGCTATGGAAACTGCACACCTAAATTCCAGCCCAAGCAGCTCTGAGCCCTGGAACTAGTTTGATATGTGCCTGGTTTCTGACCTAGAGAGACCACAAAACTCATCCACCTGATCCACCTGTCCACATATACCTCCAACTCTTCTATGAGCCCGTTGGCCTGTTTGTTCAGCTCATTCATCAGAACCATCTTGGCCATTTTGATCTGGTTTTCCACCTTCCTGTGCTGATGCTTCACCTCAAAAATCCTGTAAACAGGATGAGACACAGCATGGTGAGACCTTTCCTCCAGGCCTATGAGGGCCTAGAGACGGCAAACCTAAGTGCCAACAACTTGGAGGCTGCTCGTTGAGATCAGCAGGCACCAAATATAAAGGAACGAGAACCTTCCTCCACGACCCCACCCTTTGTACAACCAAGCCCCCTTGATCTAAGTGGGCCAATGGCCCAAAATTCAACCTGGTTTTCTCTAGGTAAACCTCAGGTCCACACCCAGGTCAACCCAGCAGCTCACCAGTGCATACAGCACTAGGGGCAGGACAAAGTGAGTAACTATTAGTGTGATTTCATGTAATCCATTGTCTTAAAAAGAAGGATCTCCATGAAACAGTGCCACGCAGTAAAAAGAGCATGGGAAGAAACAGAAAAGAGACTAGGCACTGCCAGGAACTGGGGATGTTGAGGGAATGGGGAATGACTGCTAATGTGTGTGGGGTTTCTTTTTGGGGAGATTAAGTGTTCTAAAGAGTAGACAGTAATAAAGGTTGCACAAATCTATGAATATACTATGAATCACTGAATTGTATATTTTAAAGGGGAAATTATATGGTATGTAAATTCTATCTCAGTAAAGCTGTTTAAAAAAATAAAAAAGAACATAGGCTTTTAAGTCACACAGACCTAGCTTCCAAACTTAGCTCGGTCACTGACCAACTGCGTGAATTCAAACAAATCACCTAACCTCTCTGAATTTCAGTCTCCTCATCAGTAAAATGGAGATAACCCCTAACTTAAAGAATTGTAAAAATTGAACAAAATAATGACATGTATGATGCCCAACCCAATGCCTGCCACATGATGAGCTCTCAGTACCTAGTAATACCTCTTCCTCTGTAAAATACCAATGATTTCATATCACTTGTAGATTTCTACAGAAAACATTGGGGAAGGGGTGGTAAAGGGCAGATTAGCACTTACTTGTTGCACCCTCAGGATAGGTGGCACTCACTTCCCCAGTTATCTACCCTGTGCCCTTGTCTCAAGAACCCACCTCTATTTCATGGCCACTTTCAGAAAGCATGTCCTAAAGTTGGCCCAGACTCACTCTGATCATCCTGACCTAGTTTGGTCGCATTGATTAAGTGATGACCCAAAGCCCTTCTATGGGCTCTGAGACCTCTAAGGCCAGGACATATGTCTTCTGAGACATGTGCCCATATCTGCTTAATGGCATGTCCAGGACATGAGGGAACAGAGCATTTCCCAAGCTGGCACGGGGATGGCCTGTGCTACCTGTCCTCAATTTGCTTTGCAGACGTCTGTAAAGTAGATTTCTTATGAGCCACCTGTGTAGTCACACTTTCCAGAAGCATCCTCTGATTTTGCAGAACTTCTTCAAGATGTCTGCACCTGGAGGGAGGAGGCAGAGAAAAAGCTGAGGAAAGCTGAGTCTTATTCTGAGCATGACAGCCAAGCAAGAATCCCCACAGTGTGTGTCTCAGCCAGGCCAATGGAGGCTGGGATTGCATCTAGGAAAAGTCAGAGATACTACAGACCCTTGGCCCTTTAGTCCTTCTGCCCAGGGGCTGAAGGTTGGCTTAGGCAGGGAAAGAATTCTGATGCACTGGAAGCCCAACACTCCCACGAGCAGGGAGTCCAGAGCCCTCCCAAACCCCTTTGAGCAGCCAGCCAGCCCCACCTGTGTTCTTTGTGTTCTACCATGAGGCAGCGATGGCATGTGAGCACATCACAGGTCTCGCAGAATAGCTTGAGCACTTCCTGTGTGTGTAGAGGACAGTACAAGGCGAAGTCCCCAGAACCACCACCATTCACTCCTGCCAGACAAGACGGAGAAAGTGGGCTTCTCTTGCTTAGGAAGTCCTCTCAGTTAAGCTCCACTGAGCAGCCCTTGGCCCTCAATGGACACGGGGGAGACACGGGGCTCTGAGGATAGATGGTACAAATGGAAAAGGCCTCTCTCCGGGCCACTGAGGTTCCAGGAGCACAAGGAGGAATGCAGGCTTAGCCCAGGTGGCTTTGCCCAGCTGGCCAGAAATAACACACCATCAAGTCCAGGACATTCCACAACCTACCAGAGGCTCAGGAAGGCGTTTGTTACCACTGCAGCACAGGATCGCCTGCAGAATAATGACTCCTGTAAAATTCAACCTGAACCTCTTCATCAAGTGGGATTCTGTACGGTGAGGCTGACACCAGCTACCCAGCCTCACCAGGCTCTGGGCCAGATCACATGGATCATTAAATCCAGTTCCCATGAGTATGACAAAGGCAAAACCTCTCCCATGGTTCAAGGGCCTTGGGAAAAGACTTTCAAGACAGAGAGGCAAATGGACAAGCCCTGATACAGGCTGGTTAATTAAGTAACTAAATAGAAGTGATACATGACTTATAAATAATGGTGAAAGTAAGGAACTCAGCAAGCTTCCATAACTCATATCTATTCCTCCCTGCATGATCTGACCCACACTCACCCACTGCCACCTTAAATGTGGAGGGCCTAGAGTGACTTACACTGTGACTGTGATTCTGGAGGCGACATCTTTCCTTTGGGAAAGGCTAGGAGACCACCTCTCCCCACCCCCAGCAGGGGAACAAGGTCAGAGAGCTACTCTCTTGGGATTTTAGGGTACAGCACTGCTTAAGGGCAGGTGAGCTGATGGGGAGAGCGAGAAGTGCTACCTGGAGCTCCCTTCTGGGCCCGGGGAAAGGGAGGCCCCCCGGGGGCAGGGCCATGCCGGTGCTCTTCGGTGCAGGAGCTGCACAGCCAGCGGTTGCAGTAGGTGCAGAGGATGTGTGCTGCCCTCTTCTCCTTGCACTCCGAGCAGTTCTGGAAGCAGAGGGTTCTGGAGTTACTGACAACATCCTTATTTGGACCCCACCTCTATGAGTGGTCAATACTCTAGGGACCAGGGTCCTACAGAGATGTTCCCCACTATTGTGGAATGCAGTCAATTCTTAGAGCTACCTGGGGGTGAGATGTGGGGGCTTGTGAAGAGAAGCAACCTTTGTGACTAAAAGACTGTGGCCTTGGGGGCTATTAACACAATTGCTGTGCTGAGGATGAGGATAGCCACAGGAACAAGGCACACACAGCCTGGACAGGGTGGCAGGCATTCAATGAGTAATGCTGTGATAAAAGGAGGCACCTCATGCTACAGAGGCAAACGGAGGTTTTCAGGAGCTCAGTCTAGGAGAGGCCCGGAAAGGTTTCATAAAGAGGTGATATTTGAGTTGAATATGAAATGACAAGTAGAAGTTTATCAGGCAGACAAGGGAGAAAAATGGGAAGGCACAGGCAGAAAGTTCAATGTGCTTGCAGAGAGGAGGAAATCTCTGATGTGGGGTACACAAAAAGATGATTGTTCACAGCTAGGAAAGACCAAGCACAGACCAACTCTCAGAGCTATGTTTCCACAACTGAGGCCTGCTGGGCCCAAGAGTAACCAGCTCTCTCCTAGTCCAATGTTCATTCATTTGGGTAGCAAATACTTTTCAGGGCTGATGTAAAACATGTGGAGAAGAGGTGTGGAAAAAATTAGTGTGTCTGTTCCTGAATAATGTAGGCCACTAAACTGATGTAGATTCTAATACCTTTCTCCTCACACTGGTATCTGAAAAGTCCACAGCGGAATGGGGGAGGGGAGAGGAGAAATACAAGTTTTACTAATTAAACAAAGAACATGGTAGAGAACATGGGTCTCTGTCTGCCTAGTACCCAGCACAGGGCCTAACACATGTAAGATATTCAACAAGAATTAGATACAGGAACAAGGAAGTAAATTGACAAATGAATAAAAGGTAGTGGCAAGGATACCCTAGCGGAGAAAGAAACAGAAGCGGAACCAATCAGTAAGTAATGTGAAATTTCAGAAACTCAGGTTAAAGATATCAGTCATTAAATACAGGCAAGGTTGAAGAACCCACTGAACCCAGGCTGGTGCATGAGTTTCAACTCAGAGGGAGAAAAACAGAAATAAAAGCTCAGTACTGATATTTTTCAATAAGAGCTGTAGGAGAGAGAAAAAATGCTCCCATTTTGTTTTCCCCAACTCAAACATTTTAATTTTTTTCTGGATAGATGCATGGAAGGATGGATGGCTGGATGATTAGGCAAATTGATAGAAGGGCAATAAGTTTGATGGATGAATAGATAGACAGACTTATGGACAGGGGCCCCACAGATTTCTGAAAAGGATTAACTGCTCCTTTGCTTGTCCTGACTTACCCTGGCCATCTTGAATTGCCCGGCAGAAAAGCACTGCAGAAAAAAATATTCAGTTACATCGCTGGTAGGGTATACTCGCTTACACCCAGGACAGGTGATGAGCTCTGGGAGGGGAGGAAAAAGCAGAGTCAGGGCAACATGGCAGATTATACATAACATAAGGCCTTGGCACAAGGCTTTCTAATATAAAACACCAAGGTATGTGCCAATACCACTTGTGCCAAAATGAACTCGGTTTGCCTGCCATAGCCTGCAGTTTCTATCTAGGTTCTCTGAGCATGACCATCCCATTAAAGGCCTGCCCTACAGACCTCCTTACATCCCTGTCTCTGCCTGATCCTACCTTCCTTCCCCCTCCCACAAGCCATGCTACTTACTACATGCCCAACCCTCGCTCTGAAAATTGGGTGCCTTTTGCTGCTCCCACTCCTCTTTCCACAGCCCTGAGAGCCCAGCTCCGATTAATGGCTAAGCTCCAGGGAACCAGTGTGGCCCAGGAGACAGCTCCAGCTATCAAGCTTACCAGGTAGCAGAATTACTTTAATGATCTCAAAGCTAGAGTTTGCAGAAGGCCCTAGCCAGAGAAAAGCAAGGCCTTCCTGCCCACTCATCTAGGCAGTACTTATCTTCTATTACAGTCAAGACCAAGAGGTCTGCCCCGGGGCTTAGGGAGCTTTGATTGGGCCTTCTCCAGCGAGTCCATGTTGGGCGTATCATATATATGTACGTTTCACCTGTAAACATAAACATCTTGTCCTAACACCCTCTTTCCAGAGAAATGCAACCATCTCCAACACATTCCTCAGCATAGCGGGCTCCTGAACTATAAAAATAGCATCAGACTGCCCCCCTGGAGACAATAGCACTCTTTAAGACCCCAAGAGTAATCAGCTCTCTAGGTGCAAGGAAATGAGCCTCCTAAGCAGGACCAGGTGCCTGTGCCCAAGGATGGGAACAACATGGAAAGGGGCCATCTATGGCGCTACTGCCACAGTCTTTTATGCCTCATATCATCAAAATGATACAATGGCAGTTGCTCTAGACTTGCAGTCAGACAAATGTAAGTCCAAACACCAGGTTTACCACTCAGTGACTTTGGTTGGCAAGTCACTTAAATCACTTAACTCCTCTGTGCCAAGTTTCTTCATACGTAATAGAGAAAGGGAAAACAGGAGTTGCTGGGGGATTAAATTAGATAATATTTGAGAAAGCACATGATCATCCGTGAATGTTGACATCAAAAGATTTCTCATATCCCTTTCATGGCAATGACCTCAATTATCAACTCTCCCAGATGATGAAAATCAAATAGTCTGAGAGGTAGATTGAAAAAATGGCCACAAATTCTTCCCCTCCATGTGTCCATGTCCTTGCAATTCTAACCATTAAAAGGCTGAGTCTGTTCTCCGCTCTTTGAAGCTAGGCTGGCCTCATGATCTGCTTTGACCCAGAGAATGCAGCAAAAGTCACACTGTACCAGCTCCAAGCCTAACCCTTATGTGGTTTTGTGTGGCTCTGCTCTTGTGCTCAGGAACTCTAAGGCAGCCCCATGCACAGCCTCAGGTTAGATTGCTGGAAGATGGGAGGCTCTCCAGAGAGAGGCCTCAGTTGTCCCTGGCATCCCACCTGAAGCCATCGTAAGTCTGTTAGCTCCAATTGACCCACCAGCTGAACCCACACACGGACATGAGCACAGCCAAGATGAGCTAAGCCCAGCTCAACCCAGCCAAGAATCCCAGCCCAAATGCCAACCTGTAGAATCATGAAGTGTAGTTGTTCTAACCATGAAGTTTTGAAGTGGCTTATAATGAAGCAAAACCAACTGATACATCCTGAAAAAAATCAAAATCCACAAAATCTGAAAAATAATAGCTTAATATTCTCCCTCTACACCCCTCCCCTGATGAAAAAAATTATAAAATCTCCCCCAGCCTTCACAGAGCCATGGACAGAATTGGATCTGGGATCTTCCAGATAGTCTCCTACCTGTCAAGAATAGTGGCCAGAGGTGAAGAAGGATGCTCTCCACAGGTGGCCTGATCCAGGGGAATCAGGTGACTGTTCCTCCCTCCCACTTGTCTCACCCGAGGGAGACCCTACTCATCTACCCCCAGGTTAGAAATGCTGCTCTAATCCTTGAAAATTTCCACAAGTCTCCCAATTCCCTGGTACCAGAGGCCCACACATTAGTCATACTAACACAGTCTCATTAGCATCACAAAAAAGAGAAATAACTAAATAGATCAGAGTAGGCCTCATCTCATATCCTCTGCCTCCTTGGCCTTAAAGGCCCAGATCCTCAACTTTGTTCTCAGGCCCTTTCCAAATTGGCTTTGTCTCTGTCTAGCCACGTCTCTAGCTTCACTTGACACACACCCTATGTCCTTACTATGCCAAATATCTCTGTTTTCTCTTGAATACACCAAACCTGTGTGTAACTGTTTGTAAAAGTGCTGTTCCCTCTTCCTGAAATATTCTTTCTTGTTCCTCTCCTTCTCAGATAAACTCCTATTCATCCTTTCAAACCTGTTACAAATGTTCTACCTTTGAGAAGCAGTGTTGATTTCCCTCAGGATAAGTTAATTATTCCCTCTTCTGAGTCCCCACAGCATCCTGAACATCCTTCTAGTATAACAAATATCACATTGCTTTCTAACTATCTGTTCATATTTCTGCATATGAAAATAATCCACAATCAGTACTAAAAAATATTGGATGATTTTTAGCAAATTGGATAATTATGATTCTTTTGGATTTGGGGATTCCATGTGTATTCCTTGCACTCACAGCCACTGCGAGTAGTAAGAAGCCATCTGAAGTTCTCAGAGTGATGGAAAACAAGCCAGCTCAGGATGATAAAGGAATCAGGTCTGACCCGGAGCAGAGGTGTGGCCCTTGGGAAAGGCTGTAAATTGAAAGATGTGGGTTCCAGGCCCAGGGCTGTCAACTCTCTTTGTAGCCTTGAGTAACTGACCCCTTTTTTCTGAACCATATTTTCTACATCCTTAAAATGAGGGAATTGGGAATATCAAGGAAGTATGGACTAGCCAACCCTCTTCCTCTGCCTGCAGTAACCAGGCTTCAGAAATAGTCCTCTGGGCAAGAGGGGAAGGCAGAGATAGCCCATCAGCAACCTGGCTATCCAGTCAGCAAGCAAGTCAGGGCACAAGCCAGGGCCTGAGAGAGGCCTGGATCTGGAGCCTCAGGCCCACTGAAGAGGGGCAGCTGCAGCAGAGAGCAGAGATGGAGAGCCTCGCAGGGGTGCAAGCAGGTCCCAGGAGACTGTGGGTCCCAGAGTGAACACAGAGGACATGTTGTCTGTGTCACAATACTGTTGTCCAGAAATTCTTATCTTCCCTCAGAACGTCCCTAATCCCAATGAGCTGTGTCAACCTTGAGCTTTTTTTTCTTTAAAGAGATTTCCCATTTTTCAACGAGGATACGATAACAAAATTTTTAAGACAATTAGAATACATGCAGTCTTAGGGCTGTGTTATATATCTAAAATTATCAAACACCTACTTTTAATATTTAACATTAATTTAGTTATTAACACCTATTTAAATCACATAGTACCTAAGATATTATTTAGATATATTGCTTCTTTTCTATTTAAGTTATTCAAGCAATAGCCTTGAGCTTCTATTTCATACACAGGAACATGAATTCTGATAAATGGTCCAAAGGCCACACAACCATCCCTAGAGGCGAAGTCACTGGCACCAGAGGTCCTCCTGGGACCTAGTGGCCTGGTGAAGCGGCTCTGAAATCCCACCCAAGAATGTTCAGTCAATCTGTTACAAGAGTGAGCACTTCTGGTCCCAGGATATGTGAGGCAAATTATTCTCTTACAACCACTCTCTGTACCGGGTACTTTTCATGTGTTATTTAATCATCAAACCACCTCTGAGAGGTAGGCATTGTTCCCAACTCATAGTTGGAGAAATTGAGATTCTAAGAAGTTGTCACCCGTCAAAGGTCATACAAAGCAAGGGCAGAACTACAACTGAAACCCAAGTCTGTCTCTAAAACCCAGCCCTTTTACTACACTATGCTCCTTTCTAATTCGTGTAATTTTTTTTTAAGAAAAGGTTATTTTAATTAACTAAATAATTTAATTACAAGTAAAATATGCCATAATAATGATCAGGCTCTAATGATGACATGGAACCAACTCTGGACCTGGGAATCCTGGAGAAACTGAAAGCCAGCCCCAGGTATGCTTAAAGTTTTAAGAAATACAATTTTTTAAAAAGGCAAGTGAAACAAAACAGTCTTTCTGCTTGGAGAAAATAAATCAAGGGGCAGTGTCATTTCATAGACCAGTGGTTCTCAAACTTTGTCACATATCTGAGTCACTTTTAAACATCCTGATGTCCAGTCCACATCCCATATCAATTAAATCAGAGTTTCAAGTGATGGGATCCAGGCTTCAGTATTTTTAAAAATTCCCCAGGTGATTGCAACCAAGCTCTCCCTGTGGCTGAGCCTGATAGCTCAGTTCCCTGTACCTGGCAGCTGAGAAAGGCAGGCTCACCCAGTTTTAAAGATGCTCCAAAAAGTGAAAGATTCTGAATGCAGCTGTGATGTATTTCCCCTCTGACAGAGAACAGCAAAGGCCAGATGCTCAACACACAGGAGGGTATCCTGATGCCTGGGCACCCCGGGGGTCAGCAGTGTGAGCTGGCAGACATTTTGCCTCTCCTAAGTCCCAGCGCCACTGAAGGACCGATGAGCAGGCCTAGGGTGCAGCCTGAGGCTTGGCACTACAAGACTGCTACAGGGTTCTAGAGAGTGGGCTGAGCCCCGGGCTCAGTGAGGCAGCAAGGGATGGGGGCCAAGACTGGAGAGTCCACCCTTCAGACATGAACAGCCAAGCCAAGGCAACCTGTGCACCAGGGGCTAGGGTGGGGAGAAAGCCCAAGGAGGTCTCAGAAAGCCAGCACTGGGTCAGCTAAGCCCACCAGGTAGGGTCCCACACACCCCAGATGCAGAAGCCTGAGCTCAGTGCTAAGCAACCAATCTTCTGAGGGTTAAGAAGCCCTTTATTCTATAGCTCTTGTCCAGGTCTCCAGG